TTCCTTTTATGTAGCAACATGATGGTTGGGGGATTTGGGAAGCAGTTCTCTTGTAACAGTACTGAGATTTTATATATCATGTTACTTACAGAATGCTGCTACAAACTAAGTAATGTTGTTGTTGCTATTACAGGCAGTTCCCGACTTACGGACGTCCGACTTACTGACAGCCCGTACTTACGAACCGAGGTTTGTGACACAACTACATACAGCTATTACTCAGTGTCACAGACTTTACTGCAGTTCATTGTAAAAAAAATTTGTACAATGAACTGCATTAAAGTCGGTGACACTGAGTGATAGCTGTATGTACCGGCGTCGGCGGCTGCCGGTACATTTAGCAGAACTGTGACTGCAGCGGCCTGTGTCCCTTCAAATCCCCGCTGCTCTCCTCGCCTGTGTTGGTGGAGACAGCAGGTACACAGACCGCTGCATTCCTCCGCTGCCCCCCGTACCTCTGCTGCTGTCCCGGCCGCACCTACCCTTCCCCCGGTTCGGCCGCACCTCCCCTTCCCCCGGCCGCTCTTTCTCCGGTCCGGCCGCTGCTCCTCTTCATCTGCAGGCTGGGAGCCATACCCAGCCTGCTATTGGATATTGTAAAATGCAATCGCCAATAGCAGGCTGGCTATTGTACCCACCCACTGCCTGCTGTCAATCAGAATGGGAGGACCTGATGGAGAACTTTCCCTTTCGTCTTCCAGAACAGCCTGCGAGAGATAGGCTCCACCCCTTTTATTAGGAAACTCGTCACCCCTAGTTGTTTTAAAAGCCCGCCTCTCTCCTAGCTCCTCAGTTTTTTTGTGTGTTTCTTCCGTCAGGGGGATATGTCACCGGAACGGTGAGGGGGCCTCTCTGAGGTATGGAGGTGTTTCCCCCTCTGGTTTTTGTCTGATGGGCCCTTGTGAGGGCATAATACATTATGTAAGGCTGCTGGTGCGCTCCGCTGGCTGTAGGGGATTCCGCACCGGATCCCTCCATCCTCTTCAGTGCTCGGGGAGGGCCAGCACCGGAACCTGCGCTACCCCCTTGGCTGAGCCCTCGGACCTGGTGGCTCAGTAGTCGGGTACCGCCGGTCTAGGGGTTCCGGGAGGTTCTCCACGGCCGGATCGGAGGGCCGATTAGGTCACTTCCGGTGCGGGTGACGCACTTCCGCGGGCCTTGCGTTCCAGGCTTCATTTCCGGCGCAGAGGAAGGGGGCGGGACTGGCTGGTGCATGCTTTTGTGATCACAGGCCTCACTATGAAAGATCACCGGCGGGAGAACAGGTTTCTCTCCAAGATGGATCCTGCTATTCTTCTACAAGCCACTCAGGGGGATACAGGTTCTTCAGGTTGCTCAGGTAGGTGGATACTTCCAGGTATTTCCTCCCTGTAGTTCTGACTATGGCTACTTTTTCCCCCACCTGGGGCTCCTTGGTGTTGGGCTTACAGTGTTTGTCTGGTACAAGGGGAGTCTTTTTTGATTCTTCTGTGTTGCAGGTCCAAATTGCTAAGGGCAAGATGGTCCCTAAGAGGAAGTGTGCAGTCTGCTCCATAAAACTGGGGTCGGATTGGAAGAAACCTCTTTGTCAGAAATGCATTGAGGGGGGTATGCAGGGAAGAGCGTACAGTAGCCTGTTATCCACTGTTAGGGAGGAACTGGTCTCTACCTTTTCCTCTTTTAGATCTCTGATAATGGAATTGAGACCACCTGCAGCACAGTCTCTAGTGCCCGGATCTCCGGCTCCTGCTCAGCATCTCCAGACAGGGTCAAGGTCAGGAGGGGTCTGTCAGAGGGAGCCAGAGGAGTTTAGTGTCGCTGCGTCCTCTCATCAGGGATCGTCTGTTGAAGAGGACAGTGACAGGGATGATAGTCCCCTTATCCCTAAATACAAATTATCTCTGGAGGAGGTAGAGGAATTGTTAAGTGCCGTGTATGATACCCTAGATCAGGGGTCAGCAACCTTTTACACACCAAGTGCCATTTTTGAAACCATGGTACAACCGAGTGCCAGTGAACAATAGCACACTTTAGTGTTAGTTACAGGTACATTTTTTCACTCATGGCTGTACTGCTAATAGTAAGTTAAACTCACTAATTATTTTAATGTGTTTACCTCTACAGTAGCAGCACAACTATAAGGGGAAAAAATTGAATAACTGGTGCACACACAAAACACCCTGTGTCTTTATTTCATGGTTCAGTTGTGCAATCTCTGGCCTGTAGGATGACCTCAGGCCAGCAGCACCAATGCCCCGCAGACCTCAGGCCAGCAGCACCAATGCCCCGCAGACCTCAGGCCAGCAGCACCAATGCCCCGCAGACCTCAGGCCAGCAGCACCAATGCCCCGCAGACCTCAGGCCAGCAGCACCAATGCCCCGCAGACCTCAGGCCAGCAGCACCAATGCCCCGCAGACCTCAGGCCAGCAGCACCAATGCCC